ATGACCCGTCTGCAAACCTGCTAGGCTCCTAAATTTCTTAGAGATGTAACTTCCTATAAGCTCTTTGGCCTGCAGTAGCCCGAGCGTGTTCGCTCAATGTGCTTTAGTGAGCAACCACCCGTGAGCTCTTTAAGGTGGCCTCAAACAGGTGCGGTACTACCGAGGCGATACAAAAGTTTACGTTAGCGTTGAATACAAACTACTGGCATAGATGGCATGGCAACCATGTGCATTTTATTGTTGTGAATTTACAAATGCACGGAATATGCAAATGCCAGAGCATATGCCTGAACAGCCCTAATATTTTTTTGTATACCACAACGGAAGTAAAAATTTCAAAACAAAATTTTGGAAATTTATATCGCTTTAACAATTTTTGAAAAATATTTCCAAATTATACTAATTTCAATTTAAAACCAGAATCTCTTCTCTGAACCTGAAATTTCTTAATTTTCTCACTGAATTGTCCCACTGCACCGACAAAATTGTAAACAGCGTTTTGTTTAATATCTTTATTGAGCTTTACCCTCCAAATGATAAATAGCTCACTACTGGCAATACCAAGACAACCTACTGAAATAGTCCTTTTAAATAATTTGGTAAACAGTGTTAGTAAACATATAATTAATGGAATAATTTTATTAAATTGATATTATATTTCCCTTCAGGATGTATTTTCATCAATTTAAGGAGAAAAAACTGGTTACAGACTTTTGAGCATCAACTTGTATGTATGAAGCGCCCCATTGTGCCTCGTATTGATCTAGTGGAGCCATGTGAGATGCGTCAATATGCATTGGCCTGTGTTCGTTTTCATCGAATGCACCAGAGGTATCGAAGTGTTCCTTCTACATCTATTTGTACGAATTTCTATCTTCGTCTCTGCAAGAACTGTTAAAACCGCGGAGAGACCGCCGCGCCGCTGGGCACTTTCAAAATTGCATACTTACAAATCCGTCCATTTAACTTGTTCATGTACTCCTTTTTGTCAAATGTAACTGCGTGACTACCTAAATATAGATGTGCGCTATCTGTATATATAATATATATATATAATACGTGTATTGTTCAGCACAAAAGATCTGTACCTTTTGCTCCTTTTTCAAAAATGGAGTGTAAAATTAAACCGCTTGGCCTGTGGATGTGCAAACTGCTTTTTTTTTGTAAAAGAGTTTCCACCTGTTGAACAATCAAATTCAACAAATTCATTGAATAAACCTGAAAATACAATAAAATTCATTGGAATTTGAATTTGGGGTTGCCATACGTTTGCAAAAACAAAATTCCATTTAATTCACCAGTTAATTAAACTATGTATCGCAATGCCTGGCGAAGGAGAGTAAACAAGGATTAAGCTTGAAAACACTTTAAAGAGGGCTGTCACCTGTTTGAAAAGTCTAACTTAATTAACTAATACAAAAAGTATATGAAATATAAATATACTATAGTCAAACGAAAGAATATTAAGAAATCTTTAGTTTGAACATTTGGAATGTTTGAAGAGCGTTGCCGAGTGTTTAAAAAGTTACATTCAAATGATTCAATAAGTTGGATGAGTTATTAAAAGATTTGTATCAATAGAAATTATTTTGAAAAGACTTTATTCGTGAACTTAATTTAGTTGCGATGTGTTCGAAATATCAAATTCAAATTAGGTCAACATTAGAAATACATGTGTATCAAAATCTCAGAGGAAAGAGATTTAAGAAGATTTTAGTTTGAGAATACTTTTGAAAAGGAATTTCAAATTAAAGACCTGCAGATGTGTGATAAAGTTTTATTTTTTTTTTTAACTAAGAACTCTTTTCGTAGCTATACTATGCGAGACTGCTCTTCACTCAGAAACGGCTGCAAGGTTTTAGATAACATATGGCACTCGGATCTCTTATAACTCTGACTAACATTTTGAATATTTTTTAAGTTTTCAAAATTAAATTTTGGTCGTTTTAACGCCAAGCAGGTTTACTAGTTTTGCTTTATTACTCAATTGCAAAGAAGTTTAAAGTTGGTCTTATTGCCCAACGAGAAATAAAATAAAGCAAATTTGTGTTATTTCACGTTCAACCCTTTTGTATGATAAAATTACATGTACATGCGTGCGTTTACTTTTAAAACATTCGGCTCTTGTTTTACCAATATATTTATGTACATACATATGACAATGAAAGTCGACGTAAAAAATAAATAAATCCAGCAGTTTCAAGGATCTTCAACAGTTCACTAAAGTTAATGATAAGTGTTTTATTAATTTTCTTAATGTTATGGATCCTTGATATTGTCTTCCATAAAAAAACAATAGTGAATTTACCTATATAGTATGTAGTACCAAATAGCTTTGCATCATCTGTTGAGTTAGAGAGCGAGATCGTAACTATTAATGACGCCGAACAAAACTGAAGACAAAAACTTTGGACTAGCTTTTCTTGCAGAAAATTTTTTTGGCAAACAAATAAAACTGTACTTTTAATTTAATATAACGATGTCTTTTAAGAAAACTTAGTTTTTTCTTATACATAAATTAAATATGGCCGATAGTATTGATATATCGATAGTGTTCATCAATACTATCGGCATGTATCGATAGTCAATACTATCGATAGTTTTCCACCTCTAACCAATAAGTGTGCAGAGCGAGTGCGGGATTGATTTCATGTAAAATTGGCTAAGAAATGGTATGTTCGCAGTGGGTAGGGAATTAGGCCTTATAATAAATTCGTATCGTCGCCAACCCGAAGTTTCCGAGTTTCAATTAAAATTACCCCGCAATTACGTGCTTGCCAATATGATCGATATATTTGGTCTGCCTAGAATTTATGTAGTGAAGAGGCTATTATACCATGTGTACATACATACATGCATACTTAACAATTAATGTTGATTTTTTATTTGGAATTTACCCGTTTTTTACTTCCGTTGCTTTGTCCGTTGCCGTCATAGTGTTGTTGCACATGTTCAGCAAATGTGTGATTTTAATCGATCTTTCAGTTGAAAATGTATTGATTAGTTGCTTTTCGCTAAGTTTTTAGCATATTTTACTTTTATATATGTGAGTATGTATAATTGTAATTATGCACATGCTAAGTACATATGTATGTATGTAGGTATTAGTGCACTTATATACATACATATGCACATCCATACATATGTATATTTTTCCACTGAGTTATTCCATACAAATATCACAAGCACAATGTTTAGTATTGTTCAACATTTACATATGTATCACAGTTTTATTTTTTTATTTTTTATTCACTGATTAACGGTGATTTATATATATTTGCTATTTCTCTTTTTTATTTCTTTTCTCACCTTCATTTATGTAGGCATATTGTATTTAGTTGCTCTTTTGGTGGGCGTGTTTCAATTATCATTGCGCTTAGCCGCCTAAAGCGCCATTTGAAATCGGACAAAAACCACGGGCTCCACCAACGTAACTGTAATTTCAAAAAAATCAAAGCGAGCTATATTTTAGGGGGAGTAGGTTTTATCGGATTTCAAAAATATTGAAGACAGTGCTTTAGGAGGCTAAGCACAATGTGTATATCAAATTTGGTCGAGGTCGGTTAATTAGTTTTTAAGATACGCATATATCGTATAAGTGGCGGTAAAATTTCTTGAAAAACCACTTTTTTGCGATTGCATAAATAAACTTTGATGAATTCCTCAGCCACACTGCTCAAAAAATCTGAAAGTCCGGTACATAATAATTTGAAAAAAGTCGCCTAACTTCGAGAATTTTAATGCGATTGCAATAATTGAGGTATCAGTTTATTTGAAAACATATTTAATTTTATACAGTATTACATATGTATTTTGAAATTGCGGTAATAAGTGATAAGGAAAAAAATGTCTTTTCTCGATAAAAAAAAACCGCCAATAGATTAATATACATCATTTTAAAGGCCTATAAATCTTCTTCTCACAAAATGTTCGATCTTTTAAATTGAACGAAAACTAGTCATTCAAAAACAAATAAATCTACAAAACCGTACTTTCTGACCTGAAATGAGAAGTCGCGATCTCTAAATGATTTTTAAAACATCTATAAAATAGGAAATAATATTTCTCGAAATATTTCTCATAGAAAGGAAGAAAATTAGTAGGGTCTTGAAATTTTAACAAAATGTTTTTCGATGGGCACCCTAATGTCCATACATACATATGTAATATATGGGTACCCAATTAAGTTTATGGTTAGATTCAAATTGCTTTAAGATTTTTTACTGTTGCTGTTGCCGTTGCCGCAGCCGCTGCTGTCGGTGTTACTGGCCTCACTGAAGTTGAATATACGTAAGTAAATACTAAAAAACTAAAACACATTAATTACAAAACTGCATTTATGTAAAGAAAAAAAGATGTCACGCTTTTTGAATTCTTTTTTTTTCTTGGTCATTCAAAACTTGAATCTGTTACTTATTGTTAATTTTTTTCGTTTGTTTGTTTTGTTTTAGATGTGCAATAAAAGTAATAAAGTCACGGACGGAAATTAGACAGCGTGCACGAGCGCGTCGTCACTACTATTTTATATGTAATATGATAGCATTCCAACAACTTTAATTGCTTTTATGTAGGTAAATTCAAAAGGTTCAAGTACATATGTAAATATGTATGTATACCGGTAATAAGAAGACTGTCGAAAGTCGTATTTAGTTAATACTCGCATCTACATTAGACTTTACCGCCTTATAAACAAACAAAAAAGTTTCGTCCTTGAGTCTTAAGTATTTTTGCAAGGCAATTTCGAAAAAAAAAAATCTTTATTGGTCGAACCTGCCTTTTTACATTTTTCGGTGGCATCTAATTTCGACAGTAAAAAGTTAGCTTTTTAAGAAGTTCTATTGGAATAATCAAAATACTTTCTTAGCAAAAGTTTAATGATTTTTGGTGAGCTTTAATTTACTACTAATAGGGTGGTACTTTATGGTGATAAGAACTGAGATCTGGTAAGTACAACAAAGGGGCACTTGAGGCCACTGAACTTTGAAACAAAGAAATTGCCTTCTTGAAAAAAGAACGTCGATATATTATACATTAATGTCGAGTTCGTTTCTACCGAAAAGTGCAACCTTCTCTTTGCCCTATACACACAAACACTAAGAGGGCGAATGAAAAGGCACAATTTTTTGTAGAAGCGAAATCGCCATAAGATCCGACTGTAAATGCCGAAGATACATAAAAAATGTAAAAGGCGACTTCTAGTTCAGCCAAAAATTGTCTTGTAAAATACTTATTTTCTGGTACGGTCTAATGTAAATACTACATATACATTAGGGTGGTCCAAAATAAGTAAAGTCGTAATTTTAATGCTCTCACCCCCTAGGGTTGTCTATATCGAAAAAATAAACTTACCCCAATTTTTTTATTTTGAAATCAAAAAAATTTAGAGGTCGCCCAAAGCGCTCAGAATTTTCCATGTATTTTATATGGGAAAAAATACTTTTCGTAGAAATGGTTTAGAATTTTTGAAAATCAATACTTTTTGCTCGGAAAACACTGTTTCACTTCAGGAGACTTCCAATAACAATACCCAATTGTTTATTTACCTATTTTTTAATACTAAAGTTTTTTTATTTATCCCACCATTGGATTTTCTGGCGTTTACTATGGGTTTTGGGGGACCTATAAATATAGTTACTATGAAAATATGGTAAAAAAATAATTGCGTGTTATTATTGGGAATCTTCTGAAGAGAAACAGAGTTTTACGGACGAAAAATATTGATTTTGAAGAATTCTTTACGATTTATACGAAAAGTTATTTTTTCTCATATAAAATACATGGAAAACTTGAGCGCTTTGAGCGACCTCTAAATATTTTTTGACTTCAAAAAAAAAAAAAAAGCCAGTGCGTGTAGTCCCTACGCGCGGAAGAAGTGAAACTTAATAGAGGAATTTCAGAAAGAAAGAAATGTGTGATATACATACACATGTACATATTTTCTAATACACTAAATACATATTTATTTTAATTTTTTTAACGAGCTTTAATTTTTTATTTTTTATAACCAATTGCTAAGTTTAATTATTATTTTTGGCTGAGAAAACATGCATATCTACAATATCAACTAGTAGATTGTGGTAACTAAAGTAATATATAAAAAGTTTTATTTCAATATTATTAATATTTCTAGAAAAACTGCATCAATGGTAGTCGCTAATTTGGTTGTTGGAACATATCTACCAATAACCATTTCCAATGAAAATTTTTCTTTCACAAATTTTGTCAGTTCATCATACATGTATTCGGCCAGCGAAAAGTTTACGTTGAAATCTCCTGCGAGAATTACAGGTCGATCATAACAGTCTACTTATTTTTATATTCATCTTCATCTTCATCTTCATCTTCATCTTCATCTTCATCTTCATCTTCATCTTCATCTTCATCTTCATCTTCATCTTCATCTTCATTTCTCATCATCATCATCTTCATCATCAT